GGTATGTTTGTACATAGATCGGTAATGCTGTGATAGGGTTCTTTATGCATATGTTTACTGCTCTTCTAATATGTAATGTTTATCTTAAAGCGATATTATGTAAAATTTTTGCGCCCAAACAGTAAATATAAATAATTGAAATTTTCTCATCTTGATTGTCATTTTCAATAACTTTCAACATATTAGTGTCACTTTTTCACTTTTCCGGCGACAATAAGTTGCGCCAGGCCTGCTGTATTTTTAGGAGGCTCCTAAAAATAATGTAAACAAACAGCGGTTTTCGTTCGGGTGTCTTCGGCAGCTTCAACATGTTTTTGTGGCGCAACGACGTTGATCTTTTACTCCCCAAATGTAATTATGAACCCAGGTAGGCTCATAGCGCAAGAAAATGTGTAAAACAACAATGTTGAAAATAGTGAAAATCTTACATAATACCGCTTTAAAGGTACTCAGTGTAAAATTAGGACACGGTTTGATGTTGTTTTCTAGTCATTTCGTTACATAGAAAGTTACACAAGTTACATAGAAACTATTAGAAAGTTCACATTATCTTTTCTTTGTACTAGGGTTCAACCTTACTATTCTGAGGAGGAACAGCTACGAAAAGTTTGAATTCTTCACACCTGAAAGAACACAACACAACACAGCAATGAAGTCCACTAGTTGGTTGGTGACTGTGTGTTGTGTACTGCTTGGGCTGGGGACAACAACGCTTAATGCTGAACCTCAGCCAACCAAGGAGTCGCGACAGGAAGCCCAAGAACGGGGACCAAGACAGCAACTGTTTTACGTAAGTACCCTATGATTCTTCATATAGATTACCTCAGTAAACTCTAGATTTTCCAATAGTGATGTTCTGTTGAGAGTGGTGGCTGCAGTTTTCATTTCGCTCAGAAGGTGGCGTGTGTGAGTTGGTGTAAACTTGACTCTGTGGTCCTTCAGTCGCTGACTCAAATTCTGATTAGTTGATTTGAATATATATGATGCTATGCGACTGGCAATTCTTTACTGTCAGAAATGTGACATTTTGTAGAGTGGTGGCTGCAATTTTCACTTTGGTCAGAAGGTGGCGTGTGTGAGTTAGTGTAAATTTGACTCCGTGTTTGTCCAGTCACTGACTCAAATTCTGTTAAAAATATTTATGATGCGATGCCATTGGTCAGTTCTTTACTGTGAGAAATGTGATGTTTTGTTGAGAGTTGTGGCTGCTATTTTCATTTCGGTCAGAAGGTGGCGTGTGTGAGTTAGTGTAAACTTGACTCCATGCTTCTCCAGTCGCTGACTCAAATTCTGATTTGTTGATTTAAATATATATGATGCGATGCCATTGGTCAGTTCTTTACTGTGAGAAATGTGAGCTTTGTTGAGAGTGGTGGCTGCAGCTTTCATTTCGGTCAGAAGGTGGTGTGTGTGCGTTAGGGTAAACTTGACTTTGTGTTTCTCCAGTCGCTGACTCAAATTCTGTGATTAGTTGATAAAATATATATGATGCGATGCGCAATTCTTTACTGTGAGAAATGTAAAGTTTTGTTGAGAGTGGTGGCTGCAGTTTTTATTTATGTCAGAAGGTGGCGTGTGTGAGTTAGTGTAAACTTGACTCTGTGTTTCTCCAGTCGCTGTGCGGCCGAGCACGCCACATTTGCTTCACGGACGCCTGGTGCGCCAGAAGGAAGGAGTGTGAGAAGAAGAAGAAAGGAATCAAGGTAACGCACTGCAGTTCTGAAAAGATTCGCTAGGGTTCCCTTTGCATTGAGACCAACATTTCGGCTGTCTCAAATTCTGTGATTGGTTGATAAAAATATACATGATGCGATGCGATTGGTCAATTCTTTACTGTGAGATATGATGCCTTACATGATTGGCTGGTTGTCAACCAATGATTTTGAGGCCATCATTTTGGCTGTCTCAAATTGTGATTGGTTGATAAAAATATACATGATGCGATGCGTCGCTTTACTGTGAGTGAGAGAGATGATGCCTTACATGATTGGCTGGTTCTCAACCAATGATTTTGAGGCCATCGTTTTGGCTGTGTCAAATTATGTGATTGGTTGATAAAAATATACATGATGCGATGCGATTGGTCAATTCTTTACTGCGAGAGATGATGCCTCATATGATTGGCTGCTTCTCAACGAATGATTTTCGAACTCTTTTCTCCAGCGCCACATGAATGAAAGGTACGAGAATCCCCCGGACTATGAAGCGGAAGTCATGTGTTACACCAAGAACAACGTGCACCGCTGCGTTCTCAGTGTCATGAGTTAGACAAGCTTGTAGGGTTGGTGGGTCATGAGAGGGTTTTGAATATTCGAAGATAAAATACGTTGATTATGAAACGTCAGAATACAGAATAAAAAGACTTATCTAACCAAGGATTATGTCATAGGAAACAACATGTATCATTTATCAATTTGTTTTATGGCCTTATGGATCTTTTGGCGAAATATATGAGATTCAGAGTCACCAATGCTTTCTCCTGACAAAATGATGTCAACCTATTGTGGTAACAAATTTGTATTTATGCAGACTTTCTACCTCTAAATTAACCAAGAAAATGGTTCCATAAAATGATACGAGTTCAGTATATCTACCTTTTAATATGACTTTGGTAAACATCTGATATCGATTTAGGAATTATTACATATATAATATAAAGACTCAGAAAGGTATTTCCGTCTTAACCTGGGGCGAGCAAAGGGATTTTTTTCCGGAAGAAAATGACAGGCCAGTTGGCAATGCCCCAGAGGCGTAGCCAAAAAGTATGAGAGTAGTTGTACGTATACAGCCACGCGCAAATGTACTGAAATGTGCACTGCAAAATTGTCTAGTAAGTGCCAAACCAACTGCTTTACTTTGCTCGGTATAACCTCAAGATGTGGCCAATGGGAATACTTAGTAGTCGGGAGCGGTTTAGGTGGGGTGTGGTTCTAAGACAAACCGCCAGAAGGCGCAAATGAACGTAGCAAGGAATGGACGTAAATTCACTACAGATGAGCCTTGCACAAAATCTGTACATTTTATCCTCTACATACTGTTGCTACTTGTAACCAATGATTTTTATGTGTCCTGTCCAGAATAAACAGGGTATTATCACCACTAAGTGATTGTTATCTGTACATACATTAAATTTCAGTGTCAGTGCTTCGTACAACGGAATATATTGACCTTATAAGGCTTTGTCTTGAGGTGTCGTTCTTATTGGCTAACAGAATCTATAGACCGATCCTGACTGTTCATCACAGTTAGCAGTTCAACCAATTATAGAATGGTAATTAGCAGCTCGACCAATGACCAAACGTTTTGATGGAGGTGGGAGGAGATATAGGATCGGTCTATTGACGGAGGCGGTAAAATGATGTTACGTGAAGGACATCATTGTAAGTTACGCGCACAGTAATTAGACGTACATAGATATCAGGGGTTGTCGAAGATTGGTAGTTAAGGCTGAATTATTTTGGAAGGTGAAGGAAGCGGGAAAACTGTTCAAAGAAATAAGACGTGTGACTTTGGGGAATATCTTAAAACGCTCACATTGTGTTATTAATCTATGTGTGTGTGTATATCTATGTGTGTGTGTACATGTATCTATGTGTGTATGTGTATCTGCACTGTATACATGTATGTGTGTCTGTGTGTTAGTGTATCTATGTGTGTGTGCGTGTGTTTATGTGTGTGTATCTCTGTGTGTGCGTGTATCTCTGTGTGTGTGTGTATCTATGTGTGTGCGTGCGTATCTATGTGTGTGTGTGTGTATCTAAAGCTATGTATTTGTATGCGTGTATCTATGTGTGTGTGTGTTTGTGAGTGTATCTATGTGTTTGTGTGTATGTGTGTGCGTGCATCTATGTTTGTGCGTGTATCTATGTGTGTGTATGTTTGTGCGTGTATCTGTTTGTATCCGTGTCTGTATCTCTCTGTGTGTATCTCTGTTTGTGTGTGTGTATCTATATGTGTGTATCTATGTTTGTGTGTGTGTGCATGCATGGGTGCGTTTGAACTCAGTACACTCTCGTACATGTTACTATAACAAACTTTTATCATCCATATTATCCACCAAACCTCCAACCCGACCTTCACCAGCCGTCCCAACGTCCCACCCTGTCCCCACGCGACCACCGCCTCACGTGTACCGGGTCCTATCAACACTTACACCGGGCTGATCTCATTTCCAGCACGACGCTTTTACCTGATGAGCTACTTTGCTTTGGAGTGCGGCGGTGATGAGTGCATTTTGCACAAGTGATTGGTGATAATTTTCGTTCCGTCCGCCCATCAGACGAGCATGATTGAAAAAGCTCTTCGAGGGGGGAGCGTTCGTTCGTATCTGGTGGTGGGATTGGGCGGTGAGGGTATGTTGCAGATTGAGGGAGGCAGAGGCACACACACACACGCACACAAATAAAGACAGGAGAGAGAGAGGAG